TGTAAATATATATGTAAATATATATATATGTAAATATATATATTCGTAATTTCATAAAATAAAATTTTTAAAGTTAACTGATTGTTCAGTACTTTATAATGAAAACTATGATTTTATATAAAATATAGTTATTGTAAAATTATTCTATGTAAAATTATTCTATTATTCTAAATTATTATAATGTAAAATAAAGTGTATTCAAGTTATACAGTTATATATATATAACTGTATAACTTGAATACACTTTATAGTACTGGTATAGAAAAATCGGAAAAATTAGCAGTTATTGAATTGAATCTGTTCAAAATAATTGAACTGGCAGCATTTGATATTAAATAAAAAATCGATATTATATCTAAATTATTGCATATCAATAGCCATAGTGTATTAATTAACTTAAATAAATACATTAAATGAATATCAATATTTGAAATTTATTCATATAATATCTTTATAAAACATCCTTACAATAGTATTTCTAAAAACCAAATTTTATTAGCAATGAATAAAAATAATTTCTTCTATTATAAATCATTACCAGATTGTAAATAATTTATTAAAAATTTAACTATAATAGGCGCGATTGTCGTTTATAAGACGATTATTTATTTACAAAATAAAATACTAATACTTCAGTGTATAATGAAATATTAATGGAATTTAAAAAAATTACGCATAAAGTAATGAATTATTTGTGAGCTTATTTTCTTTAGAATAATTTTTTTATATACATTAAATTTAATATTAACTAATAAAGAATGAAATATAAATATGTTATAGAATTTCTGTATTATAATCAATATATATTTATAAAAAATTATTTGTATATTTAAATGATATATAACTCGTACGTTACGAATGTAATTCAAATAATAAAGAAAATATTAAAATTATTTTTAATATACAAATATTTAAAGATTTTAATTATTGTAATTCAAACACTTTTTTATTTAAATTTATATTATCACTTTTAAAAAAGAGTATCATAAGATTTTGTGTTTATTGAATAATTTTATTTTATTTTAACTGTACCTCTATGAAAGTATTTGATAACGATGAGTTTCTTACTTAAGTTTGTATAACTTATATCTCTATATGCAACTGTTTTATATTTTTAATTTAGGTCTTTGTATTCATGTAATAAGCTGAAAATTAATATTCGATAATATCCGATTATTCGATTAAAATAAAAATAATCTACGTTATAAAATAAATGTTTAGAAATTCAACAAATTCGATGTACTATTTTTTATTTATTTTAATTAAGAATTTACGAAAAATATTCAAGAATATACATGATATTGAATTTTTGTTATATGAATTTAATTTGTAGATTTCATTGAATATTTTATGTTCATTATTTTTCAGTTTATTAAAATTTATTAGTCCTTACAATGTTCTATCTGATTATCTAATTTAAATATTTAAAATAAAATAATTTGTTTTTTTTACACTCAAGTTAATTGTATTAGATTGTATAATTTAAGGCAAAATTTTTGCAAATACTAATTATAGAATTAAAATTCAATATATAAATATAAAGATTAACTAAATAATTTTTCTATCTTCTTAAATTTAAAAATATTTTTTTAATCATATGTCGTAAGAGCAATATCCTAACTTAGCATCTTACATCGCATATTCATTTTTTAAGAATTATTGTATGCGATATATGTGTATGTATATACATATATATATATACATATATGTATACACTATAAAAAGAATTATTATTATAACAACAACAACAACAAAAAGTAAACTTTTTTAGTATATCTTTCACGTTAAACGTTATATGATCCTCTTTCTCTATAATGATGGACTAAAGCAGGAGACGTTATCCTTCATCTTAAAGAAGGAACTCACTATAACTAATCAAATCCTCAATGCGATTCATTCACTTAAATTTTACATTAAATTTATTAAATACACAGTTGGCAGCCGCTGAACTCGTGCGTCGCCAGAACTGAGCTATTAACGAATCTCCTCTTCACATCGCGTTCACCCAAATACACGTACGAGCAGGTTAGTTTTACGGGGAAACAGGAATTACAAGATGAGAAGTCGTAAACTCGCAGCTGAGTGAAGCCGCGTGCCGCCTTTAATTGTTGGTATAAGCAGAATGGGATATCTGGGAATCTCATATAAAGCTTAGGATACTAGATGCCCTCGACCAATTACTGGGGAGCGAGGCTTCCGCACGAGCGAGTGAGAGAACGAGTCAAGCAGGCTAAAAGTGTATTTGGACAGTTCCACTTTCGCGACTGTACAATTGCACCGAGTTAATTTTACATACCGGAACAGCCTCGAGCTCAAGAAGATGAGGTAGAAGGGAGATGATTGTGCCATAGCTGCATAGACGATCGAACAATTTACGTGTCAGAGATCTCGACTACTTCCAGAGCGCGAAGGAGCAAATCGGAACTTGCTCCTATATACGTAACTATTATTGTATTATCACGATAAAAAAAAGACAATTCTACATAATTTAAACTAATTGAATTAATTATCTGTTTTTTAATCCTGTATGACCGTGTGACTTAGAAGACTTTATTGCAATGCTTCTACTATGGTTACTTATGCTAGCTAATTATTAATTTGAGAATATTGTAAAGCATATATAACTTATTTTTAATTACATCTATTATTTCACATTGAATGTGAAAAATACCAAATAAATTTTAAAGATTGTTATTTTATAAATAACTGGTTTTTCATTTTCATTCATCACTATTATAAAAAGGCAAATATTTGAAATGTGCAGAGTCAAATTGAATTGTCAGTCTAACATTGCGTTATGGTAATAAAAATGCTAAAATCCGAATGAAGTCTTATTATTTAAAATAATTCATTGGAATTTTATTTTATTTTATTATACACTTTTTTATTGAGTTTTTAAATACTTATTATATTTCAAGATTATTTATAATACAATATACACTGAATAGATATAATTTTACGGATGTTTCATTCTTTATTTTAATTAATGTTTGTATATGAATTCTTCTATATTTTTTTATGATTAGGTACTATCAATAAATTAAATATAACAAATCGTTTACCGAATTTATTTAAGTTATTTAAAATAAATACGATTTAATTTATAACAACTTTGCAATTTGGTCATTATTAATAATAAAAATATATAATACATAAACAAATTTATATTTACATATTATATAATTATAACAGTATAAAATATATTAATACGTAGTCAAAAACCTTTAAAATAATCTTAATATTAACCATCAGTATTAAATTTAAATATTTTACAAAAATTCTCTTTGATTAAATACATCTATCCGATAAAATATATGAAAGCATACAAATTAATAAAAGTGATGAATTTTTTTAATATTTTTAATATTATATGTAATATATTCGAAGTTATTTAAAACTTAATGTTAATAAATATTAAAATAAAAATTTGCCTATTTAAATTAATAATAAATAATAGAAAATGTGTTCAATAATAGTATTTACTTTGTAAATAAAAAAAAAGAATAATTTAATATCTAAAACATTATTTTATATCTGTTTTTGTAATATATAATAAAGTTTTCAATTTCGATTATTTTATTTATTTTATTAATTTTATTCCATGGATATTGAAATTTGCACTAAAAAAGGAAATTAAATTTGGTAAAATATAATGTATATATCTGAAAGATTAATTTAAGAAATAATTTATAAAATATTTTTTAATAAGTTATCTTATATAATTTTATACATTATTATTATATATTATTGTTATATAATAATAATGATGATGATAATGACGATAACAACGACGATAATGATGAGAGCACCGATGCCGGTAGCAATGACGGCGACGCTGATATTACTACATTATTTTTCATTCGATTATTTCTGCTACAAGTATTATTTTGACGTTTTTAACATCGTGCTTCGAGGTGTTTATAATTACAATGACTAAATTCAATCATTAATTTCTACTATGGATGTTTAAAATTATAATGATCAAACTCTATGTCTTTCTTATTAAAGTATATGTATATAATTAGAAATCGGAATTTATAAATAAAAATTCTCGTTTCATTCATGTATATTGTATTTATATATCAGTATATTGTTATTTTCTATGAATTTTATTCGTTAATACATGTTACTATTATTCGGTGACTAAAAGAATTCTTTCTTTAAGCAGTATTCAGAATTTTAGAGCGAACGGCAAAAAAATCTTTGGAAGAACTCATTATCTAACGGATAAGACTAAGTACAACACACTATGTCAGTATACTCTGTGGACATAAGCTATGAGTAATTTTCTGGGCATGGCTACCAGACGCTTTGCTCTCTTTTTGATTACCGAGTATTCAATTCTATTTTTTCAATAAACAGACTAAAAAAAATCTTACTACTTATAAGAATGAAAACGTACTATACAAATAATTAAATCGTAATGATTTGTTCAACTCTGTTTATTTCTTATTTAAGAAAGTAGAATAGTTTTTTTATGATTAATCATTTAAAAACAAATAAAAAAAATCTTTCATTTGTTACTTATATATTAATAATATCGTACATTATAAATACATTCAAATTTTTATAATTACGACATATCCATGAAAATAAACATCATTTTAAAAATACATTAAGAAAAAATAAAATTAATATTTTGTATAAGTATGAAACCAAAAAATTTGAAAAAAGCTTGTAATCCGTTTTTTTATCTTATCAAATGATTGGTACTCAATTAAGAAGAAATATTGTAGAATTTTAAGAGAATATAATAATCGTAATATCTAAGAGTACATAAAAAGGGTAATAAAGTATTTGTGGAGTGATTATTATATTAGTATAGGAATGTTAATTGCAATCATTTATATAATTTTTATAATTCTACGAGTGCTTTAAAAAAAAAGATTCTTTCTATAATAAATATTTTATCACTTACCAATGGTATATGCACAAAATTAAAAAAATACGCCAATGTGTGTAGTTATATATTAATTATTTAACAAGCCATTTTTTACTCGCAAGCAGACTAGCATTGAAGATGCCTTATTTTGGAAGAATAAAGAAAAGCACAAGAAAGAAGAAGAAAAAAGGAAGGACACAGGAAAAATTTGAGTACAGCCAAAACGTAATGGTAGAATTGACATTGCATTGAGTGAGCGCACGTGCATCGAAAGTCGAGCAGACGATGAAACTCGTCGTCGAGGGATTGCCGTTAAAGATGGGAGGGGAGGATTCGTCGCCCCGTAGACACGCGCTCGCGCAGTTATCGGCACCAAGGAGGGAGGAGAGACCTCCGAGTGGCTGTTGAGAAGAGAATCTTCGCGACGTCCATGTGCTCGGCTAGAGCCAGCGCTCGATCAAGTCCTCGGTGAGCTAGCATTCGGCTCTCAGTCCTCGCGAAGCGTTCGCTGCAACTACGTCGGCGTTCTCGTCGTTGCGCGCACGCAAATCTGCCCGGAGCCATTCGCAAAAGCCCCCCCCCCCCCAGCGATCGGTGCGTTGCAACGATGAGCCCCAGTAGTCTTGAGGCTCTACCCGCCCTCGCGAACATGTGGACATGAAGAGATTCTAACTCTTCGTATCATTTTTACCGTTATCATTATCTGCTTTCTTTTCGCTTTCTTCTCCTGCTACTTTATATTTTTGTTTCTTCGAAGTTTCCTCTTTCGCCCTTGGCCGTTACAAATATAGTTGCTACTACTTGGAGCTCGATAGTAGTATAGGAAGACGATTCCTCGCGTCCGGAAATTCTTCCCCCTTGTCTCATTATTTCTTTGTTTTCGTTCAATTTGTGCCAAATCGTGCGTCAACTCGACTGACAGACGTTAGAGAAGCTAAACGTGTTGGCAACCATTGAATCACAGCGAGTAGCCTGAAAAGTAGAGGAAAATTAGAGACGTAGTTAAACATTTGAACTGTTAGTGAAGAAAAACGAAGAGAGCAAATAGTGATAAATTATTACAAGGATGCACCATACGACTCCTTGGTACCTGCCCTGGGGGCTTAAGCTTGTTCCGCTATCTATACCACCGGGACATCCAGCTTCCGGCATTCCGAATCCGGCGCTCCACTTGTTAGCTCCTCTTCCAGGAATCTATGCGCCAGAACCTCGCAAGGTAATGCGCCTTTTCCATTGCTATCAACAATGTAGACTGTTAAAAATTCCAGTGATTGCTCTCAGAAACATCAAACTTCAAGCATCGATCTAGAAAATTAATACATTACTTATAATTAATGTCTTTAAGTTTATTTAATACGTCATTTTATAAAGTAACTTGCAAGCATTGATACATTATTTTAAACAATCGCAAAATATTGAATATATTATATATTAAGGGATCTTATAAAAAATCTTATACGGGAAATTATAATAATATTCTTACTCTATAAACATATTTTTCTATAAATGTAATTTTTAAGCCAAAATTGAGACTGCAATTAAAAATAATATTGGAAAATTCTAGACAAATTATTATATTTTGTTCCTGTAGACGAATAGACACAACTAAATATTTAACAATTACCATTTTTGTATTTCACTTAGAATTTTTAAAAATACAATGGTTTACCATAATTTCTTATTGTAATTAATAAATAAAAACTATAAATATGAACAAATGGTTAGTACTGATATTAGATGAGTAAATAATTACAATAAAAAAATTCAATATTAACTATAACAATTTGTTTGATTAATTTCTATATTAATTGAATAAATTGTAATGTTCATTATCAATCTTTACATCGAGCATTTACATCGAAATCACATTTTACAATTAATAATAAGATGATTGATAGAAATTTAAATTGTTTTGATACAAATTTTCTATTCTTAATTATTATTATGATTGTATGTATCATGCGTTATTCATGTAAGATCTATGCAAAATTAATATTTGTTTAATGCGTTTTCTGTGTATTGAATTAGTTGTGCAAAACTTTAAATGCTTACAAAAATTTAATAATGTAATATTTAAATCTTTACTATCTTTTTCACTAGATTCTATTTATTTTTCTGTGAAGAATTAGGATATATATTATTGTTAATGTTTTATTATATTGTTCATTTACAATTTTTGTAAAATTAGTCATATAACATACTTCAATTAATGTATTACAAAAAATATTTTGGTATATTTATTAATTTTATGTCATGAACTTGTTTTCTTATAGGTTTATTTATAGGAAAGAGCATTTAAAAAATAATCGAAGTAGAATAAATTAATTAGTACTGCTGACATAAAGAAAAATATTACTTCGATAGCATGATATGTGCGATAAACTTATATCATTGTTTAGTAATTGCATTTAATTCTATATTATTTATTAAATGTTAAAATTCTGTACCTTTTATTGTTAAGATTGTACGTTAATGCTATTATTACTTGCAATATAATATTTTTATTTTTGTATTATTCTTGCAATTTACTTTTTTTAATAATGCAAATGAATTATTTCCTAAAGTGGTATCAAACCATTAATATAAAAGTATGACATTAAAATAAATTCGATTTGTTTCCTGAATAAAGATTTAAATCATATTCCACATACAACTTTTGTTTGTCGTAAAAATTTCTTATCATCTTATTAAATTAACACAAAATAATGATTCATTTTCATACATAGTTGTAATTTAAATAAATCTTAAATATTTCTTTAAAGTAAATGCAATTTTATGTTTATTAATTGAGATTCATTACTTAAATTCACTTTTTATGAATTGTACAAATATCTTTGAGAAATGCATATAGACTACTAAATTATTTAACAAAATAGATTTCATATGTATTGATACTATTTATTATCATAGTTTAAAATTACAGACATGTAAAAATGTGCTATTGATAAGCTTTAAATATATTAAAAAACATAATCCATAATATAAGATAAACATAATTAAATTCATCAAATCATTAAAGTATCGTACGAGAAAAAGGAAATCCAATAGCAAAATAAACACGAAATTCGATTTAAATTATATAATGTATGTAGAAATAATGTTAATTAATATAGTTTATATTAATATATAGACTTTATAAATTGAATGGAATTTACAAATTATTGAATAAATGAAATCCTACAGATACAATTGTTCATTTGGATCACAAACCCAAAAAAGAAATATATTAAAAATATGTATATTTTATATAATTTTATAAAGACAAAATCATAGTGAAAATTTTTATATAAATATTTCACAGTTTCACTTTAAAATATGAATAAATACAGTATAAAATTGTTGTGAAATATATACGATTAAATGCATGGTATTAGTAAGTACAAATATTAATTGTATATAAACGATTTTAACTACATATTGATTTACTTAACCAACAAGTGACACAACATTCACAGTAAATATTATAGAAATATTTCATCTGTCATAAATCATTATATAAAAAAAATTAAATATTAAGTAGGAATATTAAATAAACATATTCACTTATTAAAATTTATAAATTTAATCATAAACTATATGATAAAGTATCAGTGATATTTAATTTTACATGAAATTGTTTGAATTTTATATAAATATTAATTTTATGTAGATTAGTGAAATCGATAATGATAACAATAATTTTGTATGTATTTGAATAATTGAATTTCAATAAAAAATAAAAATTGAAATGACCATGGAAAATTATTATTTTTATTATTTTTAACGTTATATTTCGTTTGATAATTGTAATATGTTTGATCACTCAAAATAGTAGAAGTTTAGATATTTATAATTATTTATAAAATATAAATATTTCATTAAGTGAAAAGTATCTTTGAAGATAAACTATTAGTCGATTCGTCGTTGCTAGCAATAAAACTCTTCGTACATAGGGTATGGGTGTTAATGTAAAATGAATATTTTCAATAAATCTTTTGACTGTTAAAAATCAAATTCTTCGTTTAAGATAGTCTGATAAAATATTTTTTTAATTACAAAATTGTAAGAGCAAACATTTTTTGATCAAATTATTTGTTGTTTATTTTATAATATTATCGAATAAATTATTATATAATTATAATTTATTTAGCACTGATTTTAAACTACAATAGTAACAAATATTTACATATAATTTACTAGTAGATTTAAAAATTGTTTATATAGAAATGAAGACTATTAAATAATGAATTTTATTGAATTAATTTGAACTGTATGAGCCATAAAAATTTTGAATTAGACAATCAAAATCTCCATAGATGAGATAAATAACGCAATGATCGAAATAAAGTATGTTAAGAGAATTTATTATCCTATTCTGTATACGATTTACTTACATTACATAGATAAATAAATTTAATCCTCTTTAGTTGTCTAGACTGCCTAAAAACGTTCTGATTATGTTAATTATCTATCACAATTTATAATTTTAATTTTTGACACTAAGTAAATGCCTCATCATGCTAAAATTTTAGCCTCTTTATATCATTACCAATAGATGTATATCGAAAATAAAATAAAATAATGAATAAGTACTGAATAACAAATAAAAAACTTAACTATGCAGTAAAGTAATATAAAATACATTAAACACAATTAAACAACCTGTCTTTCGATCTTTAATATTTTTTGTGATTCTATATGCATATTAGAAAAAAAACTGTTAAAATCTTAATTTAAAAGAAATGTACAATCCTATCATAAAAAGTGAAGCTATTGTTTACTATTTTAAAGTAATAAATATTAAATAGAATTTGAGGTGAAAGAATTAAGGGCTAACAGTCTGAATCTGAGTCACACTCGTGTACCTGATCGTGCAACATTAAAAGGCTTTTGTGAGAGACTTATTTTTGGCCGTTAGCCATACATGCAATTTGGCTATGCAATTAATATTGCATAAACATATGCAATGAATGCCACTTAATTCGATTCGATATGTATTTATTGTTTCGATTCGTAATTTGTAATATCTCCGTAAATTATTGTCGCTTGTTAATATGAATTTTTAATTTTGGATATTCGCACAGAAAATTGTTAGATAATAATTAATTGAAATAATTATAGTTCATATACATTTTTCAGAAGAAATAAATAAACAAATTTAAATATAATCCAATTAAATGTATTACCTTTAATTTTTTAAACAATTACATTTCCATATGATATTTATCTTTTTTTTTAAATCTACAAATATTCATAATTTAGAATCATGAATAATGACAATTTTCAAAAAATAAAACTTTATATAAAAAAATATTTAAATAATATATAAATGGAGTATGAATAATATATAAATGAAGCATCTAAAAAATAAATTAGTAAATAATAGATATTTAAATACGTGTATAAATAGATATTTGCATGATACTAAGGGTATATAGATGCGTGCAGATGGATAAATTCACAGAATATTCTACTGAAATAACTGTAAAATCTTTTATGAATTTGTTCATGATATAACTTTAAAATTATGTATTTAATAAATTTGAACTATTTTAATTAATCTAACATTACTCACTTTTTTAAACCAATAAAGAATTTTATTTTAAATATAAAATCAATCCAGATATACAAGATCATAAATATCAGAAATTCATTTTAAGAAATGTATATTATTGTCATTGAATACATTTTTTTAATTGTCTATCCTAAAAGCGTATTAAAATTGTTTATAATGCGTGCATAATGCAAAAGTTACAATAAGAACGGATATGAATATCTCTACAGGCTTTGAAAAGTTTCATCAAACATAAATCTCTTAAAATAATAATATAACTAGCTAAATGTAGTTAACTGCTCTTTAATCGCATAATAGCTGCAAATAACAAATGCACGTAATGCGTATGGTTGAATATTAAATAGAGCAAGCATACTTTTGCTTTATTAACATCCGTGACAAATGTAATATTATTAGCCACTTGTTTTACAAGGTATTTGAAGAAAGGAAGGTAAAATTACTATATCTTTCTAAGCATTATGAAATACTATAATTAATACCTGTTAATACTTAGATCTGAGTGATGAAATTTGATACTCATTTAAAAAGATATATTACCAGGCCAGAATAAATTCACTTAAAAAATGTATTAATAAAATATATTAATTATTTTACGATACATTAATGTGTACGTATAAAATATAATTAATTATGACACCTAATTTTTGTATTTTGTTTTTGAA